AGATTTGAGAGATTTGCAGGTCATCGGGAGATTCACGACGAAATTCTGATGAAGAACGAGTAATTGATTGACCTCGTATACATCCGGGAGCGTTTGGAACAAGAAAACGAAGAGAAAGTGAAGAATAAGGTCATGCACGGTCGTGCCCGGCGTTAGGCACGTCGTGCGTGCCTTGGAATGAAGCGGGCAAGCTACTGGAGGCCAGGCACGCCGTGCCTGAAGTGAAACGAGGAACAAGCTACTGGAGGCCAGGCACGGTCGTGCCTGGCAGTCGGGCACACCGTGCCTGGACGCGTTTAAACGGGTTTCTTCCGCAGGCACGGTCGCAGGCACGGTCGTGCCTGGCGCCGTGACTGACCCCGTTTTATCCTAATTCAGTCCAAATTACCTTGTTTCCTTTAAATACCACCCCATAACCCTAATTAAGGGGGGATGGAACTTATTTAGCAGCTGGGACGAATTTGAGAGCTTTTAGCCTTGGTTTTTTCTATTTTTTGAGATTCTTTGTAAGTTCTTACTTTTTAATTAATGGCAATTATTTCTATTCTTCCGAATTCTATTGCTTCTTCAATTATGAATCGGGAGTAGTTTTAATTAGGGATTTGGGATTGATGAAGAAGTTAATCACAATGTATGGTTAGGTTCTTGATGGTGTAAATTGCATGAATGCCGTTTAATTTGTGTTTGAGTAATTTAATTGTTATCTTTTGTAACCTAGATGGCAACTAGAATTACAATCGCATGTATGATGAATTAAGAGAGATCTAATTTATTCTAGGACACATTCACACACACTTAATCGTTCGCTAAGAGATTAGTAGTGATTAAGGGGCCGTAAGCTCGTTCGCTTTGGCAATAATTTAGGATCCTGTCGCATGAGAGATCAGTCTGGTCCCCTAATCTATTGTACTCTACGCCGCGAGAGCGGTAAGAACTTAGTACTGATTAGCTAGGCTCAATTAAATTAAATTCATGTAATTAAGCCTGATCTGCCAGAAATCTGATTACCTCGGAATCAATCCCTGTTCCCTTCGTCGTTAATTAAGAAGAACCCAAATATTTACTTTTAGTCGTTTATTTGCAATTTTAGTTTTCTCAATCAACCAAATCTCGCACGACTTCATTTATTTTATTTCTTTTCTTTATCGCTGATTTTAGTTAGTCATTAATTCCCTTTTTACCGTCCCTGTGGAGACGATACTCGTACTTTCACCGCTATTCTACAATCTTTTTAAGTGCGAGAAAACTCACATCAGTTCGCTCTCCGTATTACTCTCATTTTAGTTGGATTCCGGCCACCCCTGGTAAGATAATCCATCATTTTTGGTGCTTTCATTGAGAGCTGAACTGTGAGCAGGTCAGATCCTCCCGCATTTTTTCTCGATCTATCGCGAACTACTTCTCAACAATGTCTGGAAAGAAAACTCTGAGAACCCGACGTGCTGCTATTGGCGTCGCTCAGGTTGAGCCCTCACTGGAAGCTACTGCTACTTCCGGCGCCAGGTGGGCCGCCATGGAGAAGCAAATTGTTGGAGCTTCCGCTGATCTGCGCAACCAGATCCAGCGTGCTTCCCCAGATCTCCGTCAGCAGATCTCGCTAAACCATGATGCAACGACAATGCCGCCCGCGCACGTGATGCCACAATTCCAGAATCTTCTGGTGGTGGATCCCTCTGCGGCGGTTGGCGCCCTCATTTCTGGGTTGCAGCAGGTGCTCCCCACGTTGCAATCTCAGCCAACTGCTGTTGTGGCTCCCCTTGCCACTAGGCCTATCTCACCGGCGAACTCCAGATCCCGGTCTCTGAGGGTAGGCTCCATCGACTCCCCTTTGGCGGTGGATAGGCCAGCGCAGATGGTCTATCAATCTCCTCCGCGCTCGAGAGCTACTCCACAAGTGGCTTCTGCAGCACCTGTCAGCGCTGTGTCCCTGACACAACAGGCGGGAACTTCCCGCCCCATTGTGACACCACAAAGGATGGCCCCACCGCCTCCTCCTACATTGCCGGCAAAATACACGGCACGCCGTGTTGATCACGGCTGCCACAATGATGAAGGCGTTTACGCCGTCACCACGGAGGACTCCTCGCAGTCCTTCTCCCCGCAAGGGAACCAACACGATGACAACCCCAATCCCTGGATTGAGGTGGGAAGGCGTCCCATCTTCTCCAGATTGGGAGACAGATCTATGGCAAATCAGCGCCTATCTGTCAACATTCGGGGAATCACCCGGGTGAATTCCCCGGTTCTCGACATTCCCCAGCAACAACAGCAACAGCCTGGGAGAAGGACTCCAGAGCGCGTACCCGCTTTGGAGAGGCTAGGGGGGAACATTCCCCTAGATTCACCCCCCCATGCCACCAGCAGATGCCTTCTCCCCCAAGGCAGCAGCGCGCTTCACCGCCGCGGCAACAACAACAACTGCAACAACCTCTGCGTCAGCCTAGGCTCTACCCGCCAAGGTGGCAGGTTGAATCTCCACCACGGCGCCAGCGCCAGGTGGATCCTAGGGAGGAACAGATCCACCTTCTGACTCAACAGGTTAATGAGCTGTGGGCTGCAGCTATCAGAGCGGTACTGCCACCGCCTCCCCAGCACAAAGCGCGAGATGCTCAACTGCAAGCGCTAGCGCTCCAGGTCCAACAACTCCAGGCCCAGGTCAATCAGGAGCTTACCACGGTCAGGGTAAGGACTGTGATAGAGTATATCTCTAGAGAGAAGTGAGAGCTAGAGAGAGAAGTGCAACAATATGCTTCAATAGAATGAATTTGTAACCCCCATAACTACTCCCAAGGGGAGTATTTATAGAGAAAATTAGGGTTGGGCTCCCAAGCCTTGGGCTTGGGAGGCCCATTTACAACTGGACCGCTACTGGGCCGAATACAAAGCCACTAATGGGCTGTACAAATGAGTAAGTATAAAATCCGATTCTGTGAGGTCTTCGTGGCTGACGAGGGCGTGGCCGACGAGGGCGTGGCTGACGAGGGCACGGCCTACGAGGGCACCCGGGTTCTTTGGACTCAGGACCATAATCCGAGTTGGCCCCTTTTCGGCCGACGGGGGCGTCCTGGCCGACGAGGGCGCCACTCTGTGCCTTGTGCTTGCTGTTCTTCCGAGTATGTGGGTCCGGGGGCTCAGACCCATATACTCCATCAGGAGTCCCCCACTCTCTAAACTGAGACGTAGACGAAGTGAAGGAGAGTAGATTCCTATGCTTTGGTGCCCTTGGCCGTTATCTGTTCCTTGTTGTGGACAGGGGGGCCGTTGTTTACTTGATGTCATTGTTTTTGGACGATGAGTGTCCTTCTTTCAATGGTGGCCGTTGAAAGGCACGTTTTTCTTGGGCGTTGATGGTTGGAGTTTGCGTTCGGGCCGATGAGGCCACTGAAGTTATTCCTTGCTTTGAGGACGATGGCGTCCTTTCCTTTGGGTGGCCGATGAGGGTGTTTGCGCACTCCTTTTGGACGTTGCTGATTGGCCTTCGTGTTCTTGGCCGAAGGGCACATCATGATTAATTGTTGGCGGAGGACGATGAGCGTCCTTGCCTCTAGTGGCTTGTTGGCCGTCGCTAATGACGTTATGGGCCTTTGGCCGATGAAGCTCCGTTGTGCTGTATGGATGATGTGGCCATGCTTTGTGGTCACATTCATGTTCTTTGTAGTGTTTTCCTTTTTGTTTTGCTGAGGCCGGTGTAGTCCCCCCAGTCCCCCACTGCTTCAGGCCGAGGAGTGTGAGGGGTGAAGGAGTTGTTTGAGTCCCTAGCCGAAGCGGCCTCTCCGTAGTCCCCCTGAATCCAACTCTCATGGCGATTTTCTGGCCAAGGTAACCCTGTGGGAGAACCCTTGTGCGCAGATCGCTTGTAGAGAGTTATCATCAAAGATCATGACGAGGAGCCGATGGCTTGTGGGCTCTTGGGTCCTTTGATCTTGTGGCCGTTACGTTCCTGGCCGTTGCCGTCTCCTTATTGTTTGGCAGTTGTGATCTTGGCGAGCAAGTGGGACGTTGTGGGCGCTTGCTGACATTTGTAAAGCCAGTGAGCGTGTGTAGGCCGTAGAGTCCGTCCTGCCAGTGGGCTGTTGATATTGAGTTTGGCCCGTTGGTGACGTGGTGGCCCCCCATTGGTGGCCGTTGGTGTGGCCATTGGGGGGGTGCCACGTGTAGTGACCGTTGGGTGGGGGTTCTATAAATACCCCTCCCCCTCCGACGAGGAAACGTATTTGCATTCTGAATTTGTCGAAGTGCTGGCCGATTTTCTAGAGAGATAAACTCCCAAGCCTGTTCTTCGTGTTCTTCGTTGTTCAAGGTTAGTGTTCATCGCGATCTTCCTCGCTTTTCATACTTTGCTTCCTAGGTTGTTGATCTAGTGTTAGGCGTTTGAACACCCTTAGATCTTAAGTTAGTCTCCTTAGGCCCGTAGTAGTAGTTATGAAGAGCTTGAACGAAGACTACTACCCCTACGACAACCAGCCCTCCACGAGGTCGCTTGACTACGAGGTGCTCGAGGAGTTCGAAGAGGAGATAGAGCGTTTAAGTCCCTACAAATCCGGAGAGCCGGTGGACGAGGAAGGCGAGGACGAGGAGTCCGCCTCCTCTTCAAAGGGTGAGGACGTAGGTGCGTCCCGAGTGGTGGACGGGGCGTCCACTTCTGCTGTCATTCCGTGCCCGAGACCGGTGTCTGCCGTGAAGGGAGCAGCTAAACCGAAGAGGGTGAGGAGGCCGAAGAATGGGCCGGGCCTCTCCTATCTGGACCTCACCAACATATTCCTGATCAAGCCGGAGAGCAGTGCGGCCGACTATCTTGTTGCCCAGATGTATGTGGGGCCGTTCGGGCGGGTTAGGGCACCCAGGCCGACGGACCATGTTCTACTTCCGCCACCGGGATACTTTGGAGTATACCAGATGAGTTTTGCTAAGGGGTTGAGGTTCCCCCTTCACCCTTTCATCATTGAGTATCTGGACATGGTGGGGCTTCCTCCGGCCTTGCTGACGCCGAACAGTTATTCCTTGATGGTGGGCTTTTTACTCCGGTGTGAGGAGCTGGGCTACAGGCCGACAACGGCCCTATTCATGAATTTGTACCAGATCGGCCGAGGAAGCCATAAGAACTGTGCGGCCTATGCTACTCTTCAACAGCTGCCGAAGAAGAGGAGCTTCACGGATTTGCCTACGTCCATTCATGGGTGGAAGAGCAAGTTCGTGTTTGTGTCCATTGGTGAGAGTGGCACCGAGTTCCCCTCTCTCGGCCATACCGGGAGGTTCAATCTCCATGACCCACCGAAGAGCTCTATCTTGGATGCTCAGGTGGCGACTTTCCTGGAAGGGGGGCCGAGGAGCGTGAAGGATTACGTTACCGAATACAAAATGACCGCCCTCGGCTTCTTCAGATACCATCTGTATGGCGATAAGGAGGATGACCTCCAACTCTGGCCGAGGATGACCACCACATTTGAAGAGGCCGACGGCCCGGATTTGGGCATTCCTGCTGAGGCCGATGGTAATTATTTCTTCGGCTTTCTGTTTTTATGTTTTTGTCCTTTGCCTTACTAATCTGTTGTGTTTTTCCTTTGTAGATTTTGCTATGGACCGTCGTTCCATAATGGCTATGGAACCTGAAGCTGCCGAAGCTGATGAAGGAACCAGAAGAGCAGGCAAAGCTTCCGTTGTCGGAGCGGGAGTCCCCAATTGAAAGCTCCGGCCTTGGCGAGCCGGATTACACCGAGTTTGATTTTTTGGACGATGCCACAAGTGCTGCAGCCACCGCCGGCCAGGAGGCTGAGGCCGAAGAGGGAGCAGACGAGGCCGAAGAGCCAGCCGCAGATGGAGGTGCTCCAGAGGCTTGATCGGCTACTCCTTTGTAGTTAGTTTTCATTTTTGCCCAAATGATGTAACGGCCGAAGAGCCCACCTTTGTACTGAATTTAATATATATGAAAATATTTTGCTGTCCTGATCGGCTTTGAATTCCTTGCATGCTTGTTTGCTATTTGTTATTTTAATTCCGAAATTTGTCTAAGTGTCAAGGTCATAACTTGGGTGACCCGGGAGTGTCCGCTACGTCCGTGAGGTCGTCCACCCTGTCCGGTGGCCTGGTCGGCTTGTTTGTCGTTGCTTTACTACCATAACACTTAGGATTTTTTCAGAAAATTTCCTAAGTGTTTTGGGTTCACTTGGATGCCTTCTTCCCGGTCTGGTGGCTTGGTCGGCCTGACCGTGTTGATGTAGTATCATAACACTTATGATCCTTTCGAAAAATTTCCTAAGTGTTTTTGGGTTCTTACAGTTGCTTCCTTGTGGCCTGGTGGCCTTGTCGGCTTGGCCGGTGGTTCTTGGCTACCATAACACTTAGGATTTTTTTTTTCAAAAATTTCCTAAGTGTTTTGGATCCCTTTAGGTGCTTCCCTTTTCAGCCTTGACCGTGGTGTCCGCTCCGTCCGGGCCTTGGATTCATCATTTTTGACAAATGCTCTGGGAGATGTCCCAAGTGTTTGAGCCAGTGTCGTTGTCGGACTGCATCCTTTGTGTTGTGGCCGATAAGGGCACCTTAACCTTGAGCTTTTTGAACTTAGAATTTTTCTAAGTACACATGCAGAGATGTGGGTAGATAACGGCCTTGGAGTATACTGGTACCCGCTTCGGCTAGAGTTCCTTCATTTGAGTACTTAGGTAATTTTCTAAGTATAAATGTGAGGCATTTACTTCTTTGCTTGTGGCCGATGAGGGTGCTGGATAAGGAACGGCTTGTCCAAGGAGATGGTCCTACCTTCGTCGGCTAGCCATGGTTCCTTGTTGAGGAACCCTCTCTTTTCTCAGGATTTTTTTCTAAGTGTTTGGGAAACACTTAAACGAATCCCTAAAGAACTTTCGCTTGACCAACAGCCCTGGTTCCAGTGTCGGCGTCGGCCATCCGAGATGCTGTGGCAAGTAGAGGTTGTTTCTTGATTGCTTAATCCTTTCGCGGGTGTGATGAGTGCCCGCTTCGTCCTGGTCATCCTCAGGATTGCGATGCTTTGTTTCATACCAAGTGTTGGTGCCTCAAAGGACTATGGCCGATGAAGGTCACCTCTCGCGTGTCACTCAACCGATGCGGTTAGGGTTTTATAGGCGTGTGTATCGGCCTTGATTATTCCCTTGTAGTGTGTGGACGTGTCGTCCATGTTGCCTGTCAGTGGTACTACACTTGTGTTCAACTGATATGTACTTGGCCTAGTTGGGCCTGAGTTGTGGGGATTTTATTTTTTCATTGCTCGAGGCCGGCAAGTGCGCACGGCCGTCGGCTTCCCTCTTTTTCCCTTGTATGTTTTTTTTTTCGTTTCGGGGGGTATCCTTCTTTCAGGCTTCGGCCGAAGGGTGTGCTCGTCCTTCGGCCGGTTCGGACTTCGTTTATAACGTCCGTGGTCTCAGGGCGGGTCCCGTCGCCTATTTATGACGCGGGCTAGACTTTTGGTCGGTTTCCAACGGCTGTCGTTGCCCATCCCTGAGTTTTGGGATTTTGTCACCTCGGCCATGATTTCAGGCCTGTCGTCCTGCGTTCTGGCGCGTGGACGACGCGGTGAGCTTCCCATTTCAAGACGTGGGCCGTTTGCGGGCCCCTCGTCCTGGGGACATCGTCGGCCATACCTGAGTGTTTCACTTCTAGGCTTACGGGGCCAGGACGATGTGCTCTCTCAGCTAGGCCTGAGCCCTTCGCTGATACAAAATACAATGGAGTGCCTGAGCTTGTCGCTCGTAGGCTGCAAATGCAAGGGGCCATGTCGGCCAGACCTGAGCCTTTCGCTCTAAGGTGGCCGACGAGGGCACCTGCTAATGTTTTACTTTGAATTTCCAGAGAAAAAATCAGAACATGATTTTATTCATAAGTGGCTCGAGGCCGAGGGTGGCGTTCAATCAGTAACCCGTTAAGGGGTGAGGGCTTCGCCGTCTACACCTCCTTCGGATTACTGATAAAACTTCACCAGATGGTGTACATTCCATGTTCGTGGTACATTGGACCCATTCGGGCGTTTAAGCTTGTAGGTGCCGGGTTTGACCATGACACTGACGATGTAGGGCCCTTCGTACTTCAATGCTAGCTTGCCACCCTCTGTCGGCTGGCTTGCTTCCCTCCGGCGGAGGACGTAGTCCCCCACCTGAAATTCCCGGGAACGTACCTTGGCGTCATAGTATGATTTTACTTGACGTCGTTAGTTCTCTGCTCGGACGTAAGCTTGCTCACGCCTCTCGTCAACCAGGTGTAGGTCAATCTTCATGTTCTCTTCGTTGGTGTCAGGCTCATATTGCTCCACCCGTCGGCTGGGGATGGTAACTTCCGTGGGCGCCTTTGCTTCAAAGCCGTAGCACAGGGCGAAAGGCGTTTCACCTGTCGCCCTCCTCGGCGTGGTTCTGTAGCACCACAGGATGTTGGGGAGCTCGTCGACCCAACTACCTCCTGCGGCCTGGAGCTTTTTCTTTAGCCCCTCCATAATTGTTCTGTTAGCGTTTTCGACCTGCCCGTTGCCCTGAGGGTAGGCAACGGAGGAGAAACGATGCTTTACCTCAAACTCCCGGAGGAGCTCTTGGAAAGGGGCTGCCTCGAATTGGGTGCCGTTGTCTGATATGATCTCCTGGGGGACGCCAAAGCGTGTGATGATGTTCTTGTAAACAAATTTTTGGCATCTGGCCCCCGTGATGCTGGCCAAGGGTTCCGCCTCGACCCACTTGGTGAAGTAATCGACGGCGACGATGATGTAGCGGTTATTCCCGGCGGCTCTGGGCAGGGGGCCGACCAGGTCAATCCCCCATCTGGAGAATGGGATTGCGGTGCTGACGGGGGCGTAGTTGACAGCTGGCCGACCAGGGGCCTTCTGGAGTACCTGGCATGTGGTGCACTTCCTGGCCAGGTCAGCGCAGTCGCGTGCCATCGTCGGCCAGAAGAAGCCCTGGACGACGAGACGCCGGGACATGCTGAAAGGGCCCTGGTGTGAGGAGCAGACGCCACAATGAACTTCTTCCATGGCTGTGTCGGCCTCGTCCTGGTGCAGGCATCGGAGGAGAGTGCCATTATAGGACCGTTTGTAGAGTTTGCCATCTTCGATGGTGTAGCTTGGGGCCCTAAGTTTGGCAAGTTTGGCCCTCTCCTCGTCCGGGGGCAGCTCCCCCGTCGTGATGAAGGTGGCGATGTCGGAGATCCAGTCCTCTGGTCGATGTTGGACGCACAAGACGGGGCTGGCATGGATGCTGGACATGCTCAACTCTTCGATCTTGGCCAACTGGGAGATGTGCTCCGGGGTGTCCGAGCTGAGCTTGGAGAGGATGTCGGCTTCGGCGTTCTCGGCCCTGGGGATCTGAGTGATCTCGTGGGTTTCAAACGCTCTCAGCAACTCCTCTGCCGCTTGTTTGTACTGCTTCATCCGGCCTTCCTTTGCTTCGTACGATCCCTCCACCTGGCCCACTACCAGTTTGGAGTCGCACTTGATTTTGAGGTGCTTGGCCTTGAGGCCGGCGGCGAGTCTGAGACCGCTGAGGAGGGCCTCATACTCGGCTTCATTGTTGGATACCCTGAAGTTGAAGCGGATGGCATAGTAAGCTCTGAATCCTTCAGGGGATATGAGGACGCCGCCGCCGCCGCATGATCTCGCGGCCGACGAGCCGTCAGTGAACATGGTCCATGTATCGTCTTGCTCCGGCCCGGGGTTGGCGACGGCCGTCTCCCTTGCTGTGCATTCGATGACGAAGTCGGCCAAGGCTTGCCCTTTGATGGATGGCCTTGGCTTGATCTCAATTTGGAACTGGCTGAGGAAGATCGCCCATTTCACCATCCTTGAGGAGCTGGTGGGGCTCCTCATGAGTGCGCCGAGAGGCTGCTGGGTCAGTACGTGGACGGCGTGGGCCTGGAAGTAGTGCCCCAGCTTCTTCACCGTGTGGACGATGGCCAGCATCGTCTTCTCAATGGGGGAGTACCTGAGCTCGGCCTCCCTGAGTGTCTTGCTGATGTAGAAGATGGCTTTCTGCACCCCTTCGTCCTCTCGGATGAGCACGGAGCTGATGGCCGACGTGCTCACCCCTAAGTACAAGAAGAGGGTTTCGCCGGCTCTAGGCTTGGAGAGCACGGGTGGGGACGACAAGTACTTTTTCAATTCGTCGAATGCCTCCTGGCACTCCGTCGTCCACTTGAAGCTGTTGGCTTTACGCATGATCTGGAAAAAGGGGAGTGCCCTCTCGGCTGACCTGGAGAGGAACCGGTTTAAGGCCGCCAAGCGCCCCGTCAGTCGCTGTACCTCCTTGACGTTGCGGGGCGGCTCCATGTTGATGATAGCCTGCGTCTTCTCCGGGTTTATCTCGATGCCTCTCCGGCTGACCATGTAGCCAAGGAACTTGCCGCCCTGGACGCCGAAGGCGCACTTCTTGGGGTTAAGGCGGAGCCTGAACTCCTTCATGATTTCAAAGATTTCCCGGAGGTCGTCGGCGTGGGAGGTGGCCTTCCTGCTCTTGACGATCATGTCGTCGATGTACGCCTCCATCGTCCGGCCAAGGACCGCTCTGAAGATCTTGGCCACCATCCTAGTATAGGTGGCGCCGGAGTTTTTGAGTCCGAAGGCCATGACGAGGTAGCAAAAGATTCCCTCTGGGGTCATGAATGCCGTCTTCTCGGCGTCATCTCCATGCATGGAGATCTGGTGGTACCCTCTGAAAGCGTCGAGGAACGACATCAACTCGCACCCCGCCGTCTCGTCCACCAGCTGATCAATGTTGGGGAGAGGGAACGGGTCCATGGGGCACGCCTTGTTCAGGTCAGTGTAGTCAACACACATTCTGAACGTCGGCGGTTTCTGGGCGAGGACGACGTTGGCCAACCATGTTGGGTACTTCACCTCTTTGATGTGTTTGATTGAGAGGAGCATGGCGACCTCCCCTTTGACGAAGTCC